AAAAAAAAAAAGTTTGAAGGGAGGGGCTGGGAAGGTGCTCAGTGGTAGAGCACTTGCCTTGCATGCATGAGGCCCTGGGTTCGATTCCTCAGCACCACATAAGCCAAAAAAGAAAAAAGCTGGAAGTAGTGCTGTGGCTCAAGTGGTAGAGCTCTAGCCTTGAGCTGAAGAGCTGAGGGAGAGCGTCCAGGCCCAGAGTTCAGGCCCCACGACCGGCAAAAAAAAAAAAAAAAAAAGTTTGAAGGGAGCAGACATCTCAGTTTTAACCTTTCTCCTAAATGAAGATAGCAGGTTTCAGGAGAAAGTGTCAGAATTGGACATGAAGAGATGGGCTGGGAATTTGGCTTAGTGGTAGAGTGATTACCTAATATGCATGAAGCCCTGGGTTTGATTCCTCAGCACCACATAAACAGAAAAAACCAGAAGTGGTGCTGTAGGTCAAGTAGTAGAATGCAAGCCTTGAGCAAAAAGAAGCTCAGGGAAGAAATGTGAGGGAGAAAAATAAAAAAAAGCAAAAGAAGAAGAAGAAGCTCAGGGACAGTGCCCAGGCCCTGAATTCAAGCCCCAGGACTGATACACACCAAAAATAAAAATAAAATGAGCTGGGTACTGGTGGCTCATGCCTGTAATCCTAGCTACTCAGGAGGCTGAGATCTGAGGATCGTGGTTCAAAGCCAGCCCAGGCAGGAAAGTCTGTGAGACTTATCTCCAGTAAACCACTAGAAAACTGGAAGTGGTGCTGTGGCTCAAGCGTGCTCGTCTTGAGCTGAAGAGCTGAGGCATAGTGCCCAGACTCAGAGTTCATGCCCCATGACGAAAGAAAGGAAGGGAAGGAAGAAAAGAAAGACAGACAGACTTGGGAGGAGAAATCCCCTCCTATATAACTAGTATAAACTTTTTCAAAAAAGAGATTTTTGGAAGAGTTCAATTGTGATCATTGGAGCTTTGAGGATGTACTGTTGCTGAAGGAGAGAACCTGGAGAAACAAAGGTGCCAAGACAGTTCTTCGAAGGGCATGAAGAGAAGTCAGTGAAGCCGTCCAAGAAGCAGGAAGACCAGGACACTGAAGAGCCACCAAGATCAGGCAAAGAGACAATCTAGAAAAAGACCATCAGCAACATCAAATCCGGTAGAAAAACTGAAAAGGGTGAGCGATAAAGACTAATGCACTGATATGATACATGAGAAAACTGGAAATAGTCTTCAACTATGCTGTTTCAGGGCACAGTACAAGTAGACAAGGGGCTCGAAGAGACAAGGGTAAGAAAGCTGGAGACACAGAATGGGGAAGGAAGAGGGATTTTGGTCACTGCTGCTGGGTACCATCAGGGCACTGAAGGATTTTGGGGTAGGACAGATTAGGCACAATTTTAAGGGGAAGACTGAAGGAAGACCCAAGAAAGAAAGTGAGTGAAAATAGATAAGAATGACTAAAATCAGCTGGGAAGGTGGCTCAGTGGTAGAGCGCTTGCCTTGCATGCATAAGAATGACTAAAATCAGAGCTGGGTGCTGGTGGCGCATGCCTGTAATCCTAGCTACTCAGGAGGCTGAGATCTGCAGATCCCAGTTCAAAGCCAGCCCTGGCAGGATCTCTGATAAACTACCAGAAAACCGGAAGTGGTGCTGTGGCTCACGTGGTAGAGCACTAGCTTAGAGCTGAGGGACAGTGCCCAGGCCCAAGTTCAAGCCCCATGACTGACAAAAAAAAAAAAGACTCATCAACATTTAGCCAAATGTACTAGGCTAGAACTTAATGATGGTGAAATCTCAAGTTTAAAAGGAATTTGTGTGTGTGTGTGTGTGTGTGATGGAGCTTGACCTTGGGGTGTAATGCTGTCCTTGAGAGCTCTTTGGCTGTAGCTACCACTTTGAACCATATTGCCACTTCCAGCTTTTAGGTCATTAGAGATAAAAGCCTCACGGAGACTTTTTGCCCCTGCTGGCTTCGAACCGCCATCCTCAGATCTCAGCCTTCTGAGTAACTAGGATTACAGGCACAGGTCTCCTGCACCCAGTTAGGTGGTTTTGTTTTTTGTTTCTTTCCAGGTTGAATTCTAAAAAGTAAAAAAGCACTGATCGCTCATGCCTATAATCCTAACTGCTCAGGAGTGTGAGACATGAGGATCCCAGGGCAGGGACGTCTACGATTCGTTTCTCCAGTTAACCACCAAAAAAAAAAAAAAAAGCTGGAATGAAGCTGTGGGTCAAGTGCTAGCCTTGAGCAAAAAAAGTAACAAAAACAAAGAAACCTCTGAGTGACAGCGCCCAGGGCCGAGTGCCCCAGGACCAGCACAAATGCGGAAAATAAAATTCTTAAAAAGTAAAGGCTATGAAGTGAGCGCTTGAACAGATCTCCAGTAACTACGAAACTTAACCTCGCCCAGCCTGCGCTGACGGCGCCGCTGCGCATGCGCAAGGCCGCGCCGTGAGCCGCGGAGCTCCGGCCGCTAGGGGGCGCCGCTAAATCGCGGCGGCTGTTCCTCCGGATTCCCAGAGGCCTAGATTGAGAAGTCGTGACGCGCCGGCGCTGCGCACGCGCGCTCCCTGGCGGTCCTGTCAACATGGCGCCGGTGGAGCACGTCGTGGCCGACGCCGGGGCTTTCTTGAAGGACGCGCCTTTGCAGGTACGGGAGATCCCGCCCGAGGAACAAAGCCCGGGGTGGCTCGCGGGGGTGCGGGGGGTGGGGCGCGCGTGAGCCGGGCCGATCTCCCCGCAGGACATCGGGAAACACATCTACACCATCCGCGAGGTCGTCAGCGAGATCCGGGACCGGGCCACGCGCCGGCGGCTCGCCGTCCTGCCGTACGAGCTGCGGTTCAAGGAGCCGCGCCCGGAGTGCGTGCGGCGGGGTGA